GATGCTCGTCCGTCCTTTCCGACACCGAATTCGTGTAATATCGAAAATATTTCACGTTCATTTCTATTAATGAACATGCACTAACTTTAATCTCGGTTTAACTTATTCTTTATCTTTTTTTTAGAACGAGATACAAAAAGTAAGTTGAACCGAGATTAAAATTAATTTGTATTACTAGAAATGGACATCGGTCGGTTTTTTTATCATCCGTTTTCTAAATTATCAATATACATTTTACAGACTTGCATACTTTTTGTCCAATGCGTTGAAAAAGGAATTGCAGTAGGTTTTTTGTCTACGATAGTTAAGTACTATTAGGTCTCAATATTACACCGGAAAAAAAAGTGAATTTTAATATATTCGTTTGAATAGTTCTAAGTGAATATTTACTAAATATAAACATATATTTATTCGATACAAAAATGATAGTTAATATTTAACTATCATTTTTTATGACGTATTTATTTACCGCAAGTAAATGTTTACTTAGTATACTATTCAAAGAAATATGTATTTGATAAATTCTTATCACTGTAGCTCCAGGAAATAGTCGTTTTATTTTCGAAAACAATTCTCTAATTATTATAAAATATAGGGCGAAAAATCGTAAAAGCGACAGAATGATAATTAGAATTCGCCGCGCGATAAATTACTCGGGAGCGAGAGAGCGACGGTGGTGGCGTACGAGAGAGAAAGGGAAAGAAAGAACCGGGGAGAGAGGGGTTGAGACGGGAGGTGAAGGAGGAGTGAGAGAAGGAGGGGGGCAGCGGCGAGGAGCGCCCACCGCGCTAAATGCTCCGCGGCGAAGGCGCCCGCTCTCACGCTGCTTCGGACCCCTTGCGCCTCGGGCCCCGGGGGCCCTTCTGTACGGCGACGTAAACAAGGTACGGACCGTGGCCCCGAAACGATACATGTGCACCTATATAACGCGGTCTCTTTTATTCTCCCGCGTTTGGTAATTTGGCCGGCAAACGAGGGAGTTTCGCGTGAATGTGATTGTTCCTATTTATACAAAATGAACGGAATAATTTATATAAGGAGACACTTTCTATTGCGCGAAATTATTCTAAAAGCATCAAGATCTCTGCGTTAATCTTTTTGGACTTATTTATAGAATTGATTCATACTTGCCCGAAATATATGATAAGATTTATAAAAGGTGTTCGCCGTTTCTGGACAATGAGACAAAAGGAAATAAGTGGAATAGATATTGATTGTATAACAGTAAAATAAATTTCTTGCCGTAATGTAATGTTGATTGTATTTGATTCAAGTATTCGCTCTTGATCTTATGATAAAACGATTGAATCGTTGTTGCAGATCGAAATAACGCAATATAATATAAATATAAAATAGATTAATTATATAATTTTATCTCTCGTTTCTTGTCCTTTCAGAATTTCCGTTCGAGGATTACATTATCAAATTTTACATCGTTTTGTATTTAATTTATAAATTCCTTTTGAAGAACGCAAGGGATTTTGTAGCTTGCGAACTTATTTTATCAATAGGTCTGTTTGCGTTGCTTGCACTTTTTTTCTCTTTCTCCAACGTCCTAATATATACATTTATCTCATTTTATACACAAAAAATATTTGGAAATTTCAAATAACTCGGACAGAAATGTCAGACCTAATGTATTGCTCATTCTGTCGCTTTTCTTCGACCGCGTTCGATTAGACGATTTTCACAAGCAGTGCATCTTCCGCTTTGTTGTTATTCATAAGGGTCCGAAGCGGTGCGCGCGCGCGCGCGCGTGCACGCTACGAGAGTGTTGGATCGGAGGAGAGGTACACGGAACACGGAGGTCGGGACTCTCAGGCGGTCGGTCCGAAGACGGCATTCCACTGGTACCTGTCCTTAACTCAACCTCCTACAGTTCGCATTCACGGCTCGGCAGCGAGCGGGCGCGAGGGGGGGGGGGGGAGGGAGGGGGGGGGGGAAGAGAGAGAGAGACTCGGCCCACCTATATAACCATAATACAACATACGCATAAGAATCTGGAGGATCTCAACGCGGCGGGCTCAGGCCCGCTGAGCTTTGCGAACGAAGCAGGCGAGAACGAACGTCCGAGGTAATAAGGCTTGTGGGGAAGAGAGTTGGGACTTTATGCGAGACAAAGGGACTCTCGCGAGTCACGTGTTTGCTCCCACTCGTTAAAGGGGCCGCGACTCGTTTCCAATTAGGGAAATTAAGCGGAATTCGAAGAAATGTCGAAAGCAACAGTCGTACGTATAATGCTAATGAATTCAATGTACGATCGAGATGAGCTTTAAGCAGTTCGACGACGAGAAAGTGACAGAGAGAAAAACGTCGTCGGTGCAGAAAAACCAAAAAAATATTTTCTAATATTGCCCGCTTTTAGCAATGTGGATTAAACTTTAATATAGATCCAACTTACTCTTCATCTTTCTTTAATTCTTAAAATTAGAAAAAGATGAAGAGTTAGTTTAATCAATAAGCTCTCTATAAGAAGTCATTATCTAAGCTTCAAGTCTTAAGCTGTAAGAAGTTGACCAATCATAGTTGATTATTTTTTTCACATTCGACTATGATTGATCAATTTCATACGGCTTAAGACTTAAAGCTTAGGTAATGGCTTATTATAGAAAGACTATAAAAACTACATCGGTAGTAAATTAACATAAGCGACGGTGAAAGATGAAAACGCGAATAAAGCGATTATTGTATCTGGACAGGTATCGAGATTGGTGTAACATCATCGAGTTAAATATCCGTACTGAAATACTAAAAATACAGAAAAATTACTTTACGCTAATACGAAACGAACATAAAGATTATCTTCGCCTGTCTGTCGCATATCTACATTCACTGAGATTACACCAGTTTCAGGTGCAAGGACGAAAGAGAGACGGAGGTTACGCGATGCGAGAGCGAAAAAAAAAATGCACGGCAATGATATTCAGGAATGCGATGAGTACGATAAGAGAAACGCCGTCGAGTCGCCGCGTGCGCGCGCGCGCACAAGCGCGGGATTCTCGTTTACGTGCTCCAAAAATGGTATTACTACATCATATTTCATTCTTAAAATAAGCATGTAGAATCATAATTTCATGGGTTCTCCGTTTTCTAGGACATTGATCAGTTTTCTCTCTCTCTATATATATATATACACATACACATACACACACAAACACACACACGTTGTACTTTCTTCGTATCTTAAACACCTGTTATTGAAATTATATATTTTAATTAAATGCTAATAACTGTAGTTTTATTCCTTATAGAATACATTAATTGAACGCAGCAACATATTAAATTTTACTATTTTTTTTTGCTTAATTTTTTTCGCTATCACAACAAGTATCTTCTTATAAAAAATAATATTTCCTAATAAAATAAAATTTAACAAAAAAACTTAAACTCTATAATCATCAAGATATATGTACACATTAAGAATTTAAATTTCATTTAAATTTATGATAATTGATGTCTAAGCAGTATCTATGTTTATTGAGAAAACAGAATCAATTGAGTAATAAAAACTTATATCCAATGAGCCGAGAAAATTAGTGGTAATCAATGTGCATACACGTGTACATATAATTACGGCCCTGAGCGTATGACTCTACCTAATGCTAATGTTCAGCTTTAGCTGCTTAGGTCGAAGATTATTGTGACCTCAATATTTTCGTGTCAGGATTTATAATCCTAACTTTTCCATTATTCAATTAAGATCATGTACTTTAAAGCTTTACCCCTAATAGCATGATAGCATTTACGAATTATTTATATACTTTTATTATAGTTTTACTTATTATAGTTATACTTCTATATAGTTATTATAAAATAGTTATGATATGGCATATAAAGAGAGAGAGAGAAAGAGAGAGAGAGAGAGAGCATTATTTCGTAATTATTTTGTAATACATCATGAGAATTATCAACGTGAATATTGAAACAAAGTAAACTGGAAAACAAATAAATATTTTAAAGTACTTTATAAAAAAGGTTCAGGACGAGGAAAATAGTTTCGGAAATTTTTATAATTTCAAGTAAACCTTATCGAATCTTGGTATGTTAATTCAGTTGTAAATTGTGCAAGTAAGTTTCAGTTCAGAAGTGTCTTCGGTTTTTCCTGAATAACGGATCAAAGTCCGCGCGCGAGTGAAGGGGAGAACAACACGGTTGAGCACCTCTACACCGCGGGCGTACGGCCGTATCGGGAAATATGAATGTAACGTTGAAAACTCATTCATAACATGATCATACGGGAAAAAAAATTTATATCGATCAATTAAACGAAATGCAATCCGAGAATGTAAGGACGAGAGTTTTTCCGATTGCGAGAAACATGAATATAGATGCGTATATCGGAGATTCATTCATAACACAGTCATATAGAAAAATAATATTTCGAATAATAAAATGGTTCAATCGAATAAAATATAATAGAAATGTGATATTTAAATCCAATGATACTCCATTGTCAGGCACAATTTCTGAAATAAACGTTTTAATCAGATTCCTCTCATCCTGAAATTCCATAACTTTTCCCGACTTTCAATAATATTAAAAAAAAAAAATTTTTTAAATTTTTTCCCCTTAATTTGGAAACCGTTAAATATTTTGTTGAAAGATAAATTTAACATAACAATGTAAATTATTATTAATGCTGCTGACACAATTTGCATTTTTAATTAACTTAGTAGTATTCTAAACTATTACGTAAGTACATATATTAAACTTCTTTAAGGTCAAGAATTATAATTTTTCAGAATGTTTTGTAAAATTCCCTGACTTTTCCCTGATTCCACCGACCGTTTTCAATGTTCTTGACAATTCTCTGATTTCCAATTTCATGGCAACCCTGTTAATTCTTAAACGAAACTTTCGCTCACAAATCCTCTCTCTCTTTCTTTTTCTCTTTTTCTTTCGTCATGCACCGTCAACAGCCAAGCTAATGTGGTTAAAGAAGCCGTTACAGGATCGTGTAAAGCTAACAAGAATTATAGCTCGTCTCGATGTTATCTTACCAGTGATTTTTCCTCGTTCATAGCTCCGTTTCACTTTTCTTCATGCACGTTTCGGCGAACGGTACAAACGAATTAATCGATCGAATGCAGAATATAGAAACGAATCGAACGAACGAATGCAAAAACGATACGCGCGTTATCACATATATGAGTACACGATGCGCTCGCTCTTCTTTTTACCGGCCGTGGAATATGGAACGCACTGTAGATCGAGAGAGCGGGAAGGGGGGAGGAACGGGACGGATGAGAAGGGGGGGGAAGAGGGCAGATCGTATTATGGGAACACACACGCCCGAACACGTGTGTCTCGCTTCCTGTGGCGGACCGGAAGTCTCCGCGCGGCGCACTATGGCGCACCGTAGTGTAGCGTGACCGTGCGCTACGAGGGCCATTAGAGTGTGCCTCCTCTCCTCAATAATAACCAGAAGGAATGGAATCCGGAGTGTGTGTATCGGTCGAAAACCACGCCGAGTTTTCCCCTCTCTCCTCTCTTCCGTTACTCGCGCTCCTGCGTTTCCATTTTTCTTTCACTCGCCGGCGAGTCGCGGCGATCACCACCTACGCCGCATTTATTTTAGCTTCCTCGATCCTCGGAGCCGGGCGGAGGAACGACGGCGCGACTGATGCTTACGTATGTAAAATCCCGTTGAAACACGCGAAACCGTTTTCGGCGAGTCGTCGAGCGCGCCGATTACGCCCGACGTTTCGTGCGCGACGTTTCGTCACCCGCATGACGCCCGCGTCACGATATCCGATCGTTAGTGCTCGCACGGTTGATAAGAGCTACGTGGGAGATTAGGCCTGAGAAACACGGCTTCCGTGAGAGCTTTCCACGTCGCGCGCTTTCATTGCTTTGCAGCTACACGCGGCTCCTACTCGTACCTTCATTGCTTTTCTCCACCGAACTTAATAAAATAAAAAAATAAAAAAAAAACCAATCTCTTACTTCAATGCGATTATGCGTCCTGCTTTTTTTTTTCTCTTTCGTTTGCAACTCCTCTGTTTGCCACACTTGCCACACTTTGGTATCATTTCTTCCGTACCACTATCGGGAAAGTACTTGTCCAATATTGTACGCACATAATTCATTGTTACGCACATATTGTACTTAATCCTTAGTCCTTATCACTCGCACACAAAGTGTGAACGTCCACGTGACCAAACGAAAAGACAGAAGAAAGGGGGGGGGGAAGTCACGAGGAAGGCAACGTGCGTTCTCACACACACCACCGGTCAACAACAACGAACGCAACGTACTAGCACGACGACGGCCCGTGCCACACTGAGAATGATCACTTGCGTGTCACTCTCGCGCCAATGCGCAGACGCCAGATGCGCACTCGCAGTACGCACGACAGTACGCGGCAAAGGCAGTGCGCCGCACTCGCTCCAGCTCTCTCTCTCTCTCTCTCTCTCTCTCTCTCTCTCTCCCGCGCGCGCAACTCGCAAGCAGTAAAGCAGCAGGCAAGCGGCAAGCGGGCAGCGTCGACGCAGGCGCGATGCAAGCACGCGGAGGTGGGGTTAGAGAGGACGCAGCAGTGGGGAGGATATGCGATGCGATGCGTTGCCGTGAGTGGCGTGGCGGAGGGTTACAGGGGAAGAGGGATCCGTTACTTCTCAGAAGCGGACTGCCGCCAAACAGAGCTGCAACCGCGTACCGGCCTGGTGGTGACTGGCTCTCTCTTTCTTTCCCTTTCTCGTTTCTGTCTCTCTTCTCCTGTTTCTCGAGACCGCCGGTATCGGCGTGCTTTGGGCCTGCTGGTACCAATACCCTCCCCCCCCCTCTCTCTCTTACGTAGCACACATGAAAGAATTGAAAGAAGATACGTAAAGCTTGTGAAAAATGAACGGACTCAGGGAGACTCCGAATATTTGACGGCTGTCTATCAACATCAAATTTCATGGAATGCGCGAGAATGAGTAATTTAACAAATGTAAACAAATAAGTTTATTATCTAAAAATAAATCAAATTTGCAGAATAGATTTATCAATTTTATGAAAAATAAAGAATGAGATTAAAGATTCTACATTTTTATTCCCCAATATACATTCTTTAGCATATCAAAATATTTTAAAGAAGATACTCTCTCAAGATCATTATATTACGATTTTCATACACACAATCTTTTCACATGTAAAGGAAGAAAATAGCTCTTGCGTGATTACATGAGAGAGGGAGAGAAAATAAAATGCCTAAGGAAATCATCTATATGATTCGTATTCCTAATACACGGATTTCGCGGTGAGCGAAATCTCTCGCGCTCTTTTCTCCGAATACGAGGAAGAGGATCCAATCTTGTTCCGTTCCGGTCAGTCCGCGTCTTTCGTCATCCCGTCGCTCTTCCCCTTTTGCCATGCCGACGAGACACACGTCCGACAACACACATGGGCGGTCTAAAAAAAACTGGAAGATTCATTAACGGTTCCTCAACACGAACCTGCGAAGGCGCGCGTGTGTTGCGACGTCGGTGCATTCCATCGCTCGTGCCCGTGTGAACGACCGTAATGCATACACAGTGTATACACGGGAAGCGCCAACGCGGGGAAGAAAGATCGCATACGAGGTAGAGGAATGAGACAAACGGGGACACGACAAAGACAGCCGTACCTTGTTCTTGATATGCGCACTTGGACGTCGGACGATAAGCTATCTAGTTCTTGTCTGTCGTCATCGGCGAGATACGCGAAAGCCGAGACGGGATTACTAACCCTGGAGTACTTCTTCACATCGGGGGTGCGTCTTACGAGAAAGATAACTTTTCTAAACACCGTTTATGGCAATGTGTTCCTCATTTGTATTCGTACTTATCGTACGAAAATAGTCATTGTATCATGATGAAGTGCTGTTTTTTTTATTTCTTTTTTTTTTTCATATTTCTCATGCAGGGTTGGACTTTAGCTATTTATAACTTTTTTATTTATAACTTTTTTATTTATAACTTTTTCCTCATTTCCAGACAAAATTTCACGACTTTCCCTGATACTTTGAATAATATCTCGACACTTTTTGTATTTTTATTCTCATTTCGAAACTGTTAAATATTTTGTTGAGCGAACAGTTTAACATAGCAATGTAAATTACTATGAATGTTACTGACACTGCTTGCACTTAATTGTTAAGTTTCTTTAAAATTAAATAAGTATTTCAAAATATTACGTAGGTACAGTGATATACGCATACTGAACCTTTTTGAAAGTAAAAATTTTAATTTTCCAGAAAATTTTGCAAATTCTCTGACTTTTCCCTAATTTCTCTGACTACTTTCAATTTCCTTGACATTTTCCAGATTTCCAGTTTTGTGGGCAACCCTGCCCATAAAAGATTATTACTTAAGTACTCTTTTCCCACCATAAGTATGTCAGCTAAATGTTTCAAACGTAACATTTCAAATTCTGAAGTTCGTATCTCTCGAGATATTAATGACTCCTTTCAGGGCGAACTCCTTAATTACGGAAAGGGAGCCGTAACTTTTATCCGTGGCGCCTTAATAGGTGCTCGTGCTCGCGCGTGGCTCGAGCTTAAGAGGCTGAGGCAGATGCATCCGAAGACGTTCACAACAGGAAATTCTCTCCTCTCGCATCTCATTCCCCTCTCGTAGTGCAACGTTCGTCGTGTAAGGCTCACACGTACGCGCGAGAGGGAGAGAGAAAGACGGAAAGACAAGGAGAAGATAGTCCTCCTCCTCTTTCCTCTCCATCGTTCGCGCTCTGTTCTACGGTGTTGTTTCTCTCGACGGAGAATCGTATCTCCCTTTCCACGCATACGAGCGCGTGTACGCACACACAACGTCGGTACACAAACGTATGGAATGCACAAATAGATACTCGAGGTGGCGGGTTATTCGGTCGACAGGACCAGTGAATGGACCGCGACGGCGGTAGCGGGAGAAGTAGGGTAAAAAAAAAAAAAAGATTCAATGAGCCGCATTGCGTGAGCGTAATTATTGTAAACACGATACGCGACACATCGAAAGTCATAAAAATAACGAGCTCGTAAAGATTGCATTTACGCTATTTAAGAGTCGAACGTTCGTGCTCGCATTAAAAACATTTACGCGAACAAAATTCGTAGTGATTCGGTATCAAGTTATTCGATACTGAATTATAGTTGTGTTTAATTCGAATATCGAACTGATAATTGCCACTCGTACCATTACGAAGAGAGGAAAGAAAAAAAAAGGAACGTTAATAAATTAAATAGTTTTAAAAATGGCAGATTGTGTCACACAATTCTTCTGAATTAGCAAAATTTAAAGTCACTTCTAAAAATAAAATAGTAAGATAAAAAATTCGAGATATCAATTTATCAGGAAATTTTTTATTTTTTCGACCATTTTTTCTCTCTCGATATAAAAATTAAATAAAATCCAAATCCAAATTACACCGAAATTATACCGATTAATAAACGCGTTTTAATGGACAAATGACGTGTGATCTATTCTTTGCTACTTTTAACCAGTCAACGTTACGAACGAGGGTGTTTTCTTGCGTGAGTGGTTACGCGGCTTCGTGAACACACGAGCGTGCCCCGTGTAACGTATATTTTGTGGTGCGAGGTGACTTTAGCGCGACGAAGGGGGTCGGTTACGCGGAATATAATCAGAGAGACGCAAGAAATGAAATGAAAGCAGACATGGAGTCGAATATTAATATCTGACTAAATATTTCGACTGAATTTCCGACTTCTTTTCGGACAACATTGGCGAATATTATCAAAAATATTGTAATACAACTACCGTAAAATGTAGGGTCAAGTACAAACAGGATGAAGCACCGGAAGCTGATATTGATCGAGTATTGTAAAAGCATTCGTGTGAAAATAAAAAAATACGCAACGTTTTGCATAATTAATCTCCGTTTAATTCTCCGTTTCCTCTGTTAACCTCATAGTTTCAATTTTTCGGGATTACAAAAACATCATTCGTTAAATCGTGATGAAATAAAATTCTTTTTACAGTGTCCAAATTCGAATTGTTAATTAGAGCAGCTAAATGCAAACGGTGTTACGTTGTAAAATATGGAAAACCCTAGCACAAATGGAATGTATGACGTTCGTGTTGAAACGTTCGTGCACGGCGGTCTAATAAAGCACGTGAGATCGACGAGGTGCGGCAAAGCGGCACACCCGCCTTCTGGCTCGGGTCAGTCCTGATGAATGAACCGGAAAAAATGTCAATGAGCGTAATTATTATTGTACAAGGCGCAGGCGCGGAAGTTCGACCACGTTGTGGACATGATAAGGAGAAGGAACATTGAGAACGATGCATTAAGTAATACGGCGCAAAACAAAGAAACACATTCCAAAGAAAATTATAACAGAAGAGATTATTAATAAGATTATAACTGGGTAATAAAATATCCAACGCAACGATTCCCTTCAATTTAGATTTATACCAATATAACGCGTGTGGCAAATAAATAAACAAATGTGTATTATATTTATTAATTACAGTCATACGATCGTAATTGTAAAATAATAATAAAAAATTACATTACAACGCTTTTTCCACAGTTAATAACTACACTTCACGCGACCTTTACAAGTACAAATTTAAGACGGAAATGAGAAAAACGAACTACATTTCACGTGATCCCCTATCTTTAAAAATACGAACTTAAGACGAAGGTAAGAGAAACGAACTGTTTGATCATGCAAATTAGATCATATCTATACAAGATATGCTCTTCGGTGAAAATGGAATAAGATGGCGAGTCGTTTGTGACGTAATACGATTAACAGCGAGAAGGCACAGTCACAGAGAGAGAGAGAGAGTGACGGGGTAACTTAAACCTTTATGCATATCGATCTCGCGTGTTTTCAGCGGTGTGAATAAGCGCGGCCGGCCGTGGCCGCAGGCGCAAGACGGCTCGTTTTAACGATTTCTGCGGGGCAACGATATTCCTAAGTACATTCATCGCGCCCTCCATTTATCGCGCACGCACGCGTCGCCCGCGTATGAGTACTTACTACGTGCGCTACGCGCGACAAATACGCTCGCCGGGGCTCCGCATGAATGTACCGCCACCGCCATCGCCGCCGCCGCCGCCGTCGCCTCCACCGCCTCCGCCGCCTCCGCCGTACGTACGTAGTACGGGCGCGCATACGTATACACGCGCACGCATGTACGCACGCACACGCCGCCGCGACGTGCATTCATAAAGTGCCGGACATACAGCGCGCGCGTGCGCGCGGTTCGCCACCGCCGCCGTCACTTTTCCTCGACGTCGTTACGAAGTACCTTTTTCTTTAGCGGCGTCTACGAGATTTTCAGGCACAAAACTGAAGTTTTAAGCACTAAGAAATCAATCAATCGTAGTCAAGTATTCTCCTCACGTTCGATTGTAATTGCTCAATTTCTTACGGCTTAGAGAATTTAAAGCTTAAATTTTACGCCTTAAAA